CCCCCCCCATTTCTCCTACCAGGGAGGAGCTCTTCCTCGCTCCGTTTTTTCTGCTTTCCAGGAATTTTTGTCGCTCCTCCTTCAAAGCCTGCAGGTGAGCCTGGATTTCTTCCTGCGGGGGAAAAGCAAAAAAAAAAATAAAAAAACCAAAAAAATAAACCAAAAAAAAAAAAAAAAAGAAGATAAATTCTTGGGGGAGCTGAGAAAAAAAAAAAAAAATTTTTGGGGGGGGGGGAAAAAAAAAAAAAAAAAGAAGATAAATTCTTGGGGGAGCTGAGAAAAAAAAAAAAAAATTTTTGGGGGGGGGGGAAAAAAAAAAAAAAAAAGAAGATAAATTCTTGGGGGAGCTGAGAAAAAAAAAAAAAAATTTTTGGGGGGGGGGGAAAAAAAAAAAAAAAAAGAAGATAAATTCTTGGGGGAGCTGAGAAAAAAAAAAAAAAATTTTTGGGGGGGGGGGAAAAAAAAAAAAAAAAAGAAGATAAATTCTTGGGGGAGCTGAGAAAAAAAAAAAAAAATTTTTGGGGGGGGGGGAAAAAAAAAAAAAAAAAGAAAATAAATTCTTGGAGGAGCTGAGAAAAGGGGAAAACAAAAAGAGAAATTATTGGAGGAGCTGAAATAAAGGAAATCAAAAAGAGAAATTCTTGGAGGAGCTGAGAAAAAAAGGAAAACAAAAAGAGAAAGTCTTGGAGGAGCTGAGAAAAAAAAATTGAAATGAGAAATTCTTGGAGGAACTGGAAAAAAAAAAAGAAGTTCTTGGAGGAGCTGAGAAAAAAGGAAAAGAAAAACAGAAAGTCTTGGAGGAGCTGAGAAAAAAGGAAAAGAAAAAGAGAAATTCTTGGAGGAGCTGAGAAAAAAGGAAAACAAAAAGATAAATTCTTGGAGGAGCTGAGAAAAAAGGAAAAGAAAAAGAGAAAGTCTTGGAGGAGCTGAGAAAAAGAAATTTAAAAAGAAATGAGAAATTCTTGGAGGAACTGGAAAAAAAAAGAGAAATTCTTGGAGGAGCTGAGAAAAAAAGGAAAACAAAAAAAGAAATTCTTGGAGGAGCTGAGAAAAAAGGAAAAGAAAAACAGAAATTCTTGGAGGAGCTGAGAAAAAAAGGAAAAGAAAAAGAGAAATTCTTGGAGGAGCTGAGAAAAAAAGGAAAAGAAAAAGAGAAATTCTTGGTGGAGCTGAGAAAAGGGGAAAACAAAAAGAGAAATTCTTGGAGGAGCTGAGAAAAAGGGAAACAAGAAGATAAATTCTTGGAGGAGCTGAGAAAAAAAGGAAAAGAAAAAAGAAATTATTGGAGGAGCTGAGAAAAACGGAAAACAAAAAAAGAAAGTCTTGGAGGAGCTGAGAAAAAGAAATTTAAAAAAATGATAAATTCTTGGAGGAGCTGAGAAAAAAAGAAAAGAAAAAGAGAAAGTCTTGGAGGAGTTGAGAAAAAGAAATTTTAAAAAATGATAAATTCATGGAGGAGCTGAGAAAAAAAACGAAACAAAAAGATAAATTCTTGGAGGAGCTGAGAAAAAAGGAAAAGAAAAAGAAAATTCTTGGAGGAGCTGAGAAAAAAAGGAAAACAAAAAGAGAAAGTCTTGGAGGAGCTGAGAAAAAGAAATTTAAAAAAATGATAAATTCTTGGAGGAGCCGTGACCTGAGAGGGTGGGGGAAAATGCTGCGAAAAAAGCTAAAACCACCCCCCCATAATCACTAACCCCACATCCAGGGAAATTCCCCCCCAAAATTGGTGTCTCTGGGATAAATATCTCTGTATTTAACACCCCCTTGTAGATTTATTTATTCTGGGGGGTTTTTTGGTGGTTTTTTTCCCCAAAACCACAGAGTTTCCTCCCCTCCTCCCCTTCAACACGGCTCTGCCACTTTCTCAATATTTTTTTTTT